AGATGCTTAGATTGAGCATCAGTCGACTGTCTGATTTCCAAGTTGAGCAATAGGCATGGATATAGTCAATAATTTTTTTTATTAACAGATTTTCTGCCTTTTTCAGCAGTTTTTTGACTGAATACAGCTAATATGTCTAATATGTAATATAATGCCATTAAATGTGTAAAGCGGACGGGCAACCGATTGTTCTAACTATGTTGTTATTACTTTACTGTCACTCCCATGAAACTTTTTTCAGGGATTATTTTTGACGGGCAGTTGGCAGAAGACTGTAAAAATCAAATAGGCTTTCAAATAGGGTATTCCTGCCCCGTCAAACTTTAACCCTTTTTAAAAACATTCAGAGATGCCGTCGATTGCAGTTCTTTTGTTTTGCCAGTTTCTTCGACTTCAAGGCTGTGTTGCATTCGATTCAGTGCATTGTCCCACTTACTGAAGAATCTTGAAATGATGAATTGAATATCTGTGTACGTCGCATTTATTTTGGAAGAGATGTGCGCAGAATCCATGTATGTTGTAAAAATCGAAAGAGAGCTATCTGATTAATTCCCTGTTAAATATGGGCGGTTTGCTTTCGCATTTGCTGTTCAACATTGTTCTGTATTCTTCTCCCAGAAACAGGACTCATTCTGGCAAAGACGGAGGTATGATTCTAGAGGAAAGATACAGATAAATTCTCGATATTCGGCGAGATACTCCTTCCTGAAGTACGGAGATGATGTTGTTTTGGCGAGTAGTACGAGAAGCAGCCCCTGTCACGTACGGCTTGCGTATGCGACAGAGCTGCAAAAGCCGACCTCATTTTTAGCGCCAATAAGTCCGAATTATGAAGAATCCATTTTTCACAGTTGATTTACAAGTTTGACATGAAGGCGAACTACTTCAGAAGATTGAGTGACTAATTGAAGTATTTTCGTCATTTGCCCCAGAGTAATCTTCCCTGTGGCTTTAGTAAGAGGGTCCTGCTTGTCTTTCCATTCGCATGCCAGTCCCATGTCCAGATCATAGCATATATGGTCAAAGTCAGGCACTCAATTTGAAAGTAAAGCGGTTTACAACCGAAAGTATGTCAAACTGCCGTGTTGCGATTTTTGTTGTAGTCTCTGCTCTAGTGTATCGCATACGTACCGTTCGTCTGTATTAAACGCTGAATATCGCTTTGTGCTAACGCTACCTATATTAACCGATTATAACTACGAAGCCTATGTTTTTTATGAAGGTGGCTTACTGTCGTCGTCTTGCATGAGTGAAGCTGTTATAACCGAAGTACTTGGAGGGTCCGTCGCTGCTTCCCCAGGTAGTGATGAGCGGTCAGACGGTGATGCGTCGTCGTCCATCTCGCCCTCACCACCACAACGACGACCACGGCCGCTGCCTCCGCAGCCGCCACAGTCGTTTCCCTCTCAGCAGCAGCAACAGCTACAAAGGCCGCTCAGCGGCGGCACGACAACGTCTGACCTAAGCGAAGAAGGCGACGATGTGTCGGATTCGACGAAGACGTCCGACAACGCATTGCCTTCAGCGGTACGCGTCATGTCGTCTGTGTGAAATGTCAGCTACGAATACGAAATAAGGACAACTGTTTTCAGAGAGAGTCCAATTCGCTTGGCAAGCAGAACAAGAAAACAGCTAAGACACCGAGACCGGCGATGGAGATCTACAGACCACCAGGTAGATCGCTGTGATTTTTTTCTGTCGATTTTGTTTTAGGTTTTTGTACTAGTTTTTCCGCTCACGTTTCGAAGTTTACTGTAACAGAGGTGTCTATTATGTCGTTTGTTTAGTTACGCTTTATAAATCACGAAACACACGGTCGTATAGGGATAAAAAATATTGTTAGAATTGACAACCACGATTTTGAACCGCGCTTCACTTGTGACTGGTGTGGAAACTTGACACATCAGATTCGATCGATCAATCAGTAAATTTTTTTGCTTGAACTGCGATGAAAACAGGAGCTATCAGAAAAATCAACATATCAAACGAATACATTTGCATTTTCACTGTCCCACCGATATCTCTTTTTCTAACATTTGATTTTCTTCTCTTTTAGTCTTAATAATTTTTTGCCGATTCAGCCCTGCACATATGGGAATAACCTTAACATTCGCTTCAAATTATTGTGAATATCGTTCCTCTTTTCATTGCTGCCGACTGGCAGTAAATCCTCGGAATTGCATTTAAAGCAGAGTAATGAAAATTCCCGCTCGTCACATGCAAACTAGTTTGTGGCAAAGATTATTACCCTTACTGGAACAATGACGATTACCTTATTTATGCCAATCATGTGTAAAAATCAGACAGCGACGCATCATGGTTCTGGGCTACTATGCTATTCTAACTGAGTGGTTCCTTATTAACTGTGTAGATCACCAGGGAAATTTACTTTCGCCTTTGCTGTTCAAAACTACTTCTCCAAAGTAGTGCTGATACTCAAATATCTGAAGCTCTGATTCTCGAATGAAGGTGCAGTTCATGATATCCTACTAGTTGTCTTGCTGACCTGAT